ACTTGCAGGATTTTTTTTTTTTTTTTTAATCTTTTGCTTCACTTTCCGGTTGATTTTTTTCTTTTTCCGGGAGGTTACACTAGTTGTAAACGTGGCTAGTGACTGCCAGCTCACTGACAAAAATTACTTAGCGCTGAAGGAACTACACAAGGAGTTTGGACCATTCCATTTCAGCGTCTTGGCTTTTCCCTGCAATCAGTTTGGCGAATCGGAGCCCCGATCGAGCAAGGAAATAGAAGCTTTCGCAAGACAGAACTATGGAGTAACGTTCCCCATCTTCCACAAGATTAAGATTCTAGGATCTCAAGCAGAACCTGCCTTTAAATTTCTTGTTGGTAAATATATACCTTGCCTTACCAATATAATCTTTTTAATTGCTTTTCATTTTAAATATAAAATACCAGGACCATACTGTCCTATTTCGTTTGAAATGTTTTATTGGGAAATTTTCATAAAACTCTCCAAGAACCAGAATCTCATCCTTCATAACTTTCTAGAAGTCATGCTTTCCTGAAATTAATGTTTTAACTTCTTAGGTAGCAATAGAATTCCACCCACTGTATTTTATTCCTTTTGACCTCTTTCTGAGAACTTTACTTGAATTGTGGACATAGCTATTGTCACAGAATATCGCAGATCTCCTTTTCATTATTTAAGCACTGGGGAAAAATCTCCTCGTTGTTAAAGCTGTGCTTCATGAATGTTACTGAGCTTATTGACTAAACAATACTTATGGTTAACTTTATGTTGACTTTCTTATCTGCGATAGTGTCTTCAAGGATGACTATCTCAGCTTCTTCAAGCAGTATCTCAGGGTTTTGTGCAAATTCAAAACAATATGACAATTTTTTTTCAGAAGGCAAGAGTGTTAGTCTTCCTTTTTAATTAAGCTAGCCACAGAAATCTAAAGACTTTCCAAGATTAATTAGTATGAGAGTAGTGGGGGATAGTGACAGTACAGTTTGGGCCTCAAATAAATTCAAAGCGCTACTCAGTTGCTTTTGCTCTGTGGCCTCAGGTACATAAGTTAACTTCTCTGCACCTGTTTCCTCTCTTGTAAAATGAAGCTATAAATGTATCTACCTCCTAGAACTTCAGGAAGGATTAATTAAGCATGTTAATTGTAAAAGTAAAATATTTATATGCTGCTTACTCTGTGCCAAACCATAAAGGACATTCACTCCACTAGTGCTTTTATCTAACATTCTGAGAACATCTTCAGTCCTAGTTCCTCTATATATAATTTGAGTTTTGAGAAAACAATGCCTCTGGCATATCAAACTCCAATCCAGCAAATGAGATACTCTGTAATATTTTATATAAGCATGTAATCAGAATCCTCCAAAAACATTTAATTTCTAGGGAAAGTTTACATAATGTCTAACACCATGCATAGCAAACAGAGTGAAGTCTTCATTCTTTTTCTATCTGAAATACACTGAGGCAAGAAAAGCCCAAGTGCATGCCCTTGAACTAATCGTTCCTCAGTTACAGCAGCTTATTCCTCTTTGTCACTAAAAAAGCTTGTTAAACCTGGCTTACCCTGAGTGATCAAAAGGGTAATAGTGACATAATGAGTCACTGAACTTCCGTGGGGAGGGTAACAGAGCCCCAGGGGCCAGGAGCACAAGTCTGGAGGAGGGAGGCATGGATATCAACCCGGCCCCTAGGGCTCACTAATCTAGGTCCCCATTCTGCTCATCTATGAAGTGGGGATAAGGCCAGGGATTTGGCTTAGGGGTTCTGCCACCTGCTTCGCAAGCACAAGGGCCAGAGATCCATTCCCTGTAGCAAAAAAATAAAAATAAAATTTTTAAATAAAGTGGGGACAATAACAATGTTCATCTCAGAGGGCTTCTGTAAAGATCAAATGAAAGGATCCATTTAAAGCACTGAGCAGCTGGGCATGGTGGTGCATGACTGTAATTCCAGCACTCCAATCCCAGCACTCTGAAGGCTGAGGCAGGAGGATCGCTGTGAGTTCAAGACCAGCCTGGGCTACATAGTGAGTTCCAGGTCAGTCTCAACTAAATAGTGAGACCCTGTCTCAAAAAAAAACAGGGGAAAAAAAAGCACTGAGCCTGAGCCTACTTTAGTAGGCACATAGTAAAGTGCTAAGCAAATTAATAAATTTTATATTTATTTTATCTCTTATGTTCATCAGTAATATGAACATAAATTCTGGATGATATAAGGGGGAAAAATACACATTTTACATAAATTAAGATTTATCAAAAGGATATCATAGTTTCTCAAAATAAAATGGTTTAATTTCCTTGCCATTTTCAGCCATGGAATGTTAAAAACACTAATATATTTAATATGAAAAATCATCCATATATTCCCATTTCCAGGGAAATTTAGAACACTTTAATCTCTAAAAATGTTAAGAAACAAAATTTTGAGTTGATGACAAAGTAAATCTCTTTAGGTCAAAAAAACCTAAAACATCTTTGTTTCATTTCATGATTCTAGATGAGTAATCAGGGAATTTATCAAGCATGGTACACCTAAATCTGGTTATTCAAAGCCTGAGCCCTGCTGTTTTTATAGTACTGGGGATTGAACTCAGGACCTTGAGCTTGCAAGGCAGGCACCACATTCCTGGCCCAGTTTGAGCCCTGCTTTGTCCAGGTGTTTTTTTTGTTTTTGTTTTTGTTTTTTTTTTGTATTTGATATTATGACAGTCCTAGAACCTGAGTCTAAAGTTGTCAGTTATACATATACTAATGGAAATTGAAATTTTGACAAGAAATAAAAGTGCTCATGAAACTATTCTGGGTGTTTTAGATTCTTCAAAGAGGGAACCAAGGTGGAATTTTTGGAAATACCTGGTCAATCCTGAAGGTCAAGTGGTGAAGTACTGGAGGCCAGAGGAACCAGTTGAGGCCATCAAGCCTGACATTGTAGAACTCATTAGACAAATCATCGTCAAAAAGAAAGAGGATCTATGAGCACACCACTGAGCCACATCGATGCAGGGTAACAGAGAAACACTGTCAGAGAATTTGGTCTCACTTTCAACGTTTTGACAATTAAATGGGGCACTGAAGAATTTTTTTATGTTTTCTCGCTAGTCAATGATAATGAATATCCCCAGGACACGTCACCCGACTATATTAAATACTTCATCTGACCGCATGGAAAAATTCAGAATATACAGTTGCCAATGTGCTTCAATACTCTATTATTCAACCCGACATCTTCTAGGGTTCCCTTTTATGGAAATGCTAGCACGGTACACCAACGGATTCAAGAGCAGCGTATGTGGCTAAAATTTTCTGAGTAGCTAACTGTAATGGCTATGTTAATGTAAATAAAACACAAAATAAATTAGGAAAGATGTAAAATATTCATAGAGCCAAATCCTTATATATGTTCATCTGCTTCATATACTAGATTTTGTTTACTTTTATAGTACAGGTTTCTAGTGTGTTCAACTATAACTGGCCAAATAGTCACTTATGCTATCACAATATTTGAAAAAGCCTTCATATTCAATACTTTTCTCCCCATTGTGTTCTAGCAATGTCATAGTCCATAAATAGAATGTTAATATGCTCAGACTAAATTAGTCATTTGGAAAGAATTCAATGCTGCACCATTGTGATAGCTCAAACAGTAAAAATCAGCTCCCGGCAGTCTAAACTCTAATGTAAACAAGAGGAGGGATGTGACTGCAATCACAAAATGTCCTAAAATGTAGACTTTTTAGTAGAAACACAATATACTTTCTTTCCCAAAGTCATGACTTTTACATTTATCCACCTTGTAAATATTGACTAACAAAACAACCTGCCAAATTGGTAAAGGTTGTTGTCCTATGATATATATATTCATTGTATAAAAGAAGTAAATATGAAGACTGTGGAGTGAGGGAGTGTGTGTGTGTGTGTGTGTGTGTGTGTAAATAGTATAACATTTGGCTAAGAAGGAAGAAGACCCAATTTAAATAGCCTGTGACTTACCTCTGTAATTCTGACCTAATGGATGAAAGTGAAAATATTTTTGCAGTAAATCAATAATAGCTCCACCATACATACATGTATGTATGGACTAAAATCCTTAAAGAAACAAAAAAAATATTTCCTAGAGCACCTGCTGCTTTAGTCTATATCCAACCACTGAGCCATGAAGGTGGTTAGTGAGGCTCTTGGTGGAGGCGGAGACAGTTTCCATTGGTGGTGATGAGAATTGGCAGGGCTGGCTGCAAGAATATCAAATTAGTGTGGAAGCAAACGTGCTTCCATCTCTCACCAGCTGCAGGATTGTGGCAAGTCATTTTCCTCACCTGTACATTAAGTGGGGATCAAATGAAACAAAAAGCCCCTTCCAGTTCTAAAAGTCAATAAGCATACTTAACAGAACAAATCAGAACAAACCTGTATTATCAGTGAAGAAACAAAAACCACCCTGTAAGTCCACCTGTCCTTTATAATTGTACCCTAAAGAGCCTATTGGTAATTTGAATCCTGAGCCTCTAGACAAAATTTTAATCAGGGCAACCCCTGTAAGTGTTGTTGCCCCAGTGCTCTTGCCATGTGCCCAACAGTTACAGCACTGGTGGGATGTTTTCCTGTGCCTGCATTAGACCTGTGAGCAGAACTGAACGTGCCAGCATCACAAGGGAAACACAGACGGATGGTAACCGAGCTGCGTGGGGGATGACCTTGACTTGTAATTCTGATGCCTTCCACATCTTCAGTCACTAGTTCTCTCCAAAGCCAGAGAGAACGGGTGTCTTATACAAGATGCAATCAAAATATATAATAAATGGAGGCCAGGGATTTAGCTCAGTGGTGCTGCTGCCTGCCTCACAAGTGCAAGGTCCTGAGTTTGATCCCATATATATATAATTGTTAAACATTCACTATATATGTTTAGATTTTTTAAAACTTACAGTAAAAGACACACTAACATTCATTCCCTTCAGAATACTCCCCTTTTGAGCATATTCATCCATCCCATCATTCTTGCCACCTTCTGAGGTAGTTCTGGAAGCTTTTTATGGCTTCATGGTATGTAATCAACACTATGGTATGGTGAATGCGGTTGCTGAGTGCCATCCAATGAAAAGGAAGGCTTTTTTGAAAGATTACAATGTCTCCTCATGGACCGTATGCATCAGATTTGATGCATGACTTCTGGCTCTTCCCCAAAGTCAAAATGACATGAAAAGTAAATAAATGTTTTAAATCCATTCAGGACATCGAGGCAGCCACAAGAGCACAACTAAAGACACGAAAGAGGACTTCCAGAACAGCTTCAGAAAGTGGCAAGAAGATGGGACGAACATTTGAAGTAAGGGGGAGTAGTATGAGGGAGACTCGTGGCAGTATGTCTTTTGCTGTAACACTTTTTAAAAACATATTTTTTACCACATCATGTGTATCTCCAAACCAGTCTTCCCTTGGCCTTTGAATACAGAGAGCAGGCAGGTGGAGCTTTGCCAAGTGTGTTCTATGCATTGGCTTGAGGGAAAGAGAGCTCCTGTATCCATCCAGAGTCCCCTAACAATTAGGCTATGCTAATTGTTGAAAGAGTAGAAGAGCCATTTGCTGATGCTACCCATAACTAAAATGTCCCAAACAAACACTACTGGACAAATACACTGAGAAAAAGCTTGCATCTTTTCTGGATTCAGCAGTCTTTCTTTAATCTTGTCTTGGCATCAGAAAAGCAAGAAGACAGACTACTACAGGATGCCTAAACTAAGGAATATAACAGAAAAATGTCAGACATTACCTAAAAAGGTACTTTGTCTTCATGACAAAGGGGCAAAATAGAATGCATTTTAGCTGAGACAAATCATTCATTCACTGGAATTTTGCTTGGGTCTGTTTTGTTTGGAGGGTGGAGAGAACTACACATGAACTCCTAACCATCACGCCAAGGCAGATGAATAGAGTGTTGGGGACTGGAATAAATATGAATTTGCCTGAAATCTACCCTGAAAGTTGCACTTCACTTCTGCATGCTTAATAATTATGTACTTATAATATGTATATGTGTACATGCTCGTTTCTTAATAATTCTAGTATAAACATTAGCATATAAATAGTGGTACCTGATAAATGTTCAACAAGACTCTTTGGAAGATGAATTGTGACTTTTAGCACTTGCCAATTTTCATGGAGTAAATGTCAATGTCAAGCTACCTATGGCTGAAAAACCAGCTTTCAAAATTTCTGAAAATTTAGTTTCTTGAAAAACAATACAAGCTGCCTCCAGCACACCAAAATTTCTAAAAATTTGACTTGATCAAGGCATTACAAGGAACTCAAAAAAGAAAAATCTACAGAAAAAATATTACATATACACTATTTTTATTGAAACTATGCCATTTTGACAGATTATATAAAAATGTGGAAGCATATGAAGTTTCTGAATTATTCAAAGCTGCTAATACTTTACTGCTTAATCATACTAAAATCTATTGAACTAACTGAACTGTCTTCAGATAATCTCAAATAGGAAAATACTTTATAAAAACAAAAAAGGGAAAGGGGGGAGAAAGAGAGAAGAGAGAAGGCAGAAGACATAAGGAGATAAAGATAGCCCAAGAAGAAAACCAAAAACTACATTTCTCTATTTTCTTTTGAAATATTAACTATTTAAAAAGATGTTTTGGGGCCAGGGATTTAGCTCAGTGTTTCAGTGGCCTGCCTCGCAAGCACAAGGACCCAAGTTCAATCCCTGGTACCAAAAAAAAAGATGTTTTTGCATGAGCTGTATATTGAGTAGTCCCTGTACAAAATATATTTATTTGTGGTATTCCCTTGGGGCAAAAATGACATGTTTGGGTGAACCTGGTAAGGGGACACTCTGTCTCAGGTTGCTGTTATCTTTCCTATGGAATAATATCCTACTAGCTGTTATGCCTAGAAACCAATCCTTCACACTCTTTTCCCTCTTCCCATCTCCTTCTCCAAACTATTAAGGTCATATTCTGCTGAGTGATGTGTAACATGTTATTTTTTTTTTGGTACCGGGGATTGAACGCAGGTCTTTGTGCTTGCAAGGCAGGCCACCGAACCGCTGAGCTAAATCCCCAGCCCAACATGTTCTTTTCTGAGGGAATGAAGAGTAGCAAGGAGTAAGGAATTAGAAAGCCACGCAGAGTGCAGTAATGAGGAGGAGATAGGTTCCCAGCACAGTGCTCAACATGGTGGCTGCCCCAGGAGAAAAAAGGGGAAGAAAATGCTTCTTAACCAGCAGAGCCTCCCTCCCCCTCTTTAAGGCCCTTTTCCTCTGCTTTTCCCTTATCTTTGCAGCATGTATCCCTCCCTTCCCTCTTACTCCTATGGAAGAGTTTTCTTTTTGAATTCATAACTTCATTTTTCTCCTTATTTTCTGCTTCATTCCTTTCCTCCTTTCTCACCTCAATAACATGAAGTACATATTCAGCTTATTGAGAACAAATACAGATTTATTTAATTTTAAAAATTAAAACACAAAGGACAAGGCTTCTAAACTTAGTAGGTTACATTTTTATTATCAGGACAGTGACTATAGTAAATAACATGTTGAAATTTAACCTTGAAAAAGATGAAAATGATATTCACATAGGAGGGCTTCTTTAACACAAATATTCTAAAAATAGATTGATTCTGGACAACCAAAAGATGAGACTTGAAATAAAAATCTATAAAAATCAAATTATCCATTTAACCTATGCTCTAGAAATATTTACATTCAAATAAGCATGAAAGTCATTTTACCAATCAATAACTTACAATGCAACATATTAGAGGATATCTCACTTAGAGTTTTTTTTTGTTGTTGTTGTTGTTGTTTGAGACAGGGTCTCACTATGTAGTGAGACTGACCTGGAACTCACTATGTAGCCCGGTCTCGAACTCACAGTGATCCTCCTGCCTCAGCCTCCCTAGTGCTGGGATCACAGGTGTGCGTCACCATGCCCGCTACTTAGGGTTTAAATAATATCCCAGACCAAGTTCCACTAACTTGCTGCAAATGGCCACATGAGAACATCATTCGTCTGGTACCCAACACATATCTGACCCTGCTCCATGGATCAAATGGCCTTCAAGGAGATGAGAAAAAATGTAATATTTTTATGGTTAGCTCTTCCTAGCTCACAAGCTAGATCTTATGCCCTCTTCCAAATACTGTATGAGTAGGTGATTTTACAGAAAATAGAATAAAGAAGTCAACCCACCCTCACCCAATAATATCGCCAGTGTTCTTGATATTTCCATTGAAAATGTTTTAATTGATTGACTTATCTGGGAAATAACCTCAGCTTCCCCTTCAGCTAATAAACACACATGATCACAGACACTCTCCTACCATATTAAGAAATGGATGCAGGGCCAGGGATTTAGCTCAGTGGCACTGCGCCTGCCTCGCAAGTGCAAGGTCCTGAGTTAGATCCCAGTACAAAAAAAAAAAAAAAAAAAAAAAAAAAAAAAAAAAAGGACATAATTAAAGTACTCATTTCACTATTACAAAGCTGTGCATTGTATTATAATTAACTCAATAGCAATAATAACTATTGCCCTGCTTCATAGCAAAATACACACATACACAGATTACATTCTGATGTTCACTGTATATGCAATAAGATAGCAGTTGTATGTTAGCTGATGCCATTCATATATTCAACCAGCTAACAATACACTGCCAACCCATCACACACAGGTAACTGGTGCACATCAGCAACAAGAGGAATGTATCCAGAAGCATGTGGCAGGATAGCTGTGGCTACTGATGACCCAAAGCAGCCACCTAGAATACTCTGCCTACCTGAGTCAGGTCATTGCTGCTTTTCATGGCCCATAAGTCACAGAAGCTAAATTTGTGATAGGATACACAGTAGCAAGACGTTAGTCATTGCATTCTGAAAGTTCAGCTATATATTCAATTTAGAGTGTCACCAATTGAATATAGAAAAAATAATCTGGGGAAAAAAATCTATAAAAATGATGACAAGTTTAAAATTAAAATCTTAAGAGTAAAAAAGTTAAAGGTGCACTTTTTAGCCAACAAAGATACGGTAAATGTTTATAACGAGAAACTTAAAACATATAAAGGCTGTTTATGTGAAGAATTTTTTAATTTTTTCACTTCTTATACTGATTACAAGAGAAACTAACAACCTTTGGGTTGGGCTTTTCCAGGGCAGAAGTATTACGCTGAAACAAGTTTTAAATTTCTAAGAGGCCTGGGTTATTTCACTTCTCCACAGTGCCCACAAGGAGGCACCATTTCCACTTCTTTGGGAAGCGCGCTTCTGAACGCAACAGAGAGGAGTGCAACTAGCAACTGTTAAAATGAAAACCTAACAGCCAGCTAGCAATGCACTGCCTGTGTGTCACATCCACGTTTCATCTTTTGTTCTTAAGGCAAAAGCTAGGAAGCACCATTCGGATACAAATGATTACTTACCACTGTTTGTCAGCGATCTTCAGCTTCTTGAATTATTTTTAGTATTAGATTCTGTACTTATTTTCAGACCAGCCCATACTTCTCCCAAATGCCTTCTATCAAGAACCAGTTTGCTCGAAATCCAAACGAAGACAGAGAGCAAAAGCAAGCCCTGAACACTCACCTTGGGGGAACCTCGACTTCTCTGCTGCTTCATGTCCTGGGCAAGCACCCGCATAACATTCTCCTTTGAAAACACAGATAACACCTTGAGAATGAAACTATTTGGGAAAATGTTAGATGTGCATTTTTTCTAGATCCTGGTTTTTCAAACCACACTCCCCTTTTTTTCTTCAACCAGGCACCTCCCTAATATAACTAAACTACACAACTCAAAATTAAGACCAGGAAGTAGAGTTTGGTCCACTTCATTATGCTAAACAGGCATTTAAATGGTGCCTTTGGAAAGAAGCCCCTTAGAGAGCTGGGAGGAGAAAGAGAAGGGCCTTTCTCACCCACAGCATCTCTTCTTCAGTCCGGATCTTCCGCCGGGCGGTGCGCTCCAGTTTCCACTCCATGTCCGGCAGGCGTTGCTGTACCCCGAGTGTAGCTTCCCCTGGACCTTTCCAGGTTACGACACCCCCTTACCCCACCCCACCTCGAGGGCTCAGCCTGATTTATCGTCTAATCATTAAGCCCGTAGTAGAATCTCGTCCTCCAGGACCATCATATTCCACCACCTACCGCTATTTTCCCTGACTCTTCCCACCTTCCCGGAGAGTGGTCCCCGGGGTACTCTTTAAAAAGCCGGCTGGGCGGCCCCCAAAGCGGGAATCCCCCTTCCCGGCTTCTCAATGGTGGGCAACAAGGTGACGTCAAACCCGGGAGGGATTCTCCTGGCGTGCGCGGCCCCGCCCCAAGCTGTCCTAGGCGCGCACCCGAGCGCCAAATTTTGCCGCGGGCGGTGGCGGGCTCCAGCGAGGGCCGGGAGCTGAAGGCGTCAGGGCCACAGGAGGCCAGGGGTTGGCGGGCAAAGAAGCGGGTTTCGGCACTTCGATTCTCTGTTTTTAGAAACAAACATCTTTCGTTCTAACGGGCTGCGTCTTCTGAGTTCCCACCTCTTTGAGGTCGGAAGGTGCATAACTCCTGGCCTCCGTGCTTCGGTCCCATTTGTCGCGATCAAGACGTGAGCCGTGGAGCTTAGAACTGCTCCCAATGTGTGCGTCAGCGCCTCATCTTCAGTGGCAAGGAAATGTGGCGAGAAATCCTATGTGGTGGCAGAGGGGGAACACTGACGTTCAGTACACGTTCCTCTGTTCTATCCTTTGGGAAGTGGCCAGGTTATCTCACTGGAACTTTGGAGCTCTCTTCCTAACCAGGCTTATGAGGTGAAAGGGCCAGTGACCGGAAGACTTCAGAAGGAGAAGAGCTAGGAAGAAAAGCTGCGCAGACTTTTTGTCTTTGGGGCTCCATGACAAAGGGAGAAGGGGTAATGTGGCTTGAGGGAGGCTGGTGGGCTGAGCAGCCTTTAGCTGCCCTAGGAACCGCCAGGGGAGGCAACCCAAATGGCAAGAGGGCAGACTGCGGCTGGGAAACCTGACAGTCTGCTTGTGCCTTTCTTCCCCCTCAATCATCCCCCACCTCCAGCTGACACAGGTTGAATTTTGCTCTAATGTAGTATGAGAATTTGTGCACTTTTCTGAGGAAAGGTTCACAGATTTCAGATATTCAAAGGGATCAATGATTAAAAGGTAAAAAAATTAACTCACCCTAGTGCTTTTCTTGATAGTGAAAGCCAGAAAATGACATCAAGATTAAGGCCCCAATGTTAGACCAGTTTCCTATGTAGAAGGTTAAGGAACATGATAAAGGTTAGGAAAAATGCTGCACAGGGTAACAATCTTCAAATGACATGTCAAAATGTTTGATAGTTAACTCTTGGATTAAAAGATTTGTTTCACCCACAAGAATTTTTTTTTTTTTTTTTTTTTTTGAGACAAGGTTTCACTATGTAGCCCAGGCTGACCTCAAACTCATGGTGATTCTCTGCCTCAGCCTCCCAAGTGCTGGGATTACCAGCATGCACCAACACAGCCAAAATTTTACTTTTCTTGCAGTTCATTCATTCAGAGAAATACCCATTCCAAGTTCCAGTAAATCCTTTCGGTAAACATGGAGTCTAAATAAAGTGAATCAGATGTACTGTTAAACGATCAGTTTTACAAACGCCAACTAAAATTAGCAACACATTGGAAATATGAAATTCTTTTTTCTTTTTCTATTTTAAATATATTTTACACTTATTTGTACAAAGACAAGTAATGACTTTGCAAATTCACTTAAAATGAGATTTTTAGAATTGAAGGTCTTACAAGTACTGACAATAGTGAATTATTCACAAAGAATGCAGTTATCTGTAAGTAATATTTATAAATTGGATTTTAGCTGCTAATTCCACAACATGTCTATACACAGTTTCTGAATGCCTTTTTTTATTTTTCTAGTGTAAACCAGGGAAGTATTAGTCTAATATCTTCCTTTAAAAACATATTGTTCATTTAAGTGTTCATTAAACTTTGATATAAAAGGATGGAAATAGATAAATCACCATTTGGCAAATGCCACAATAACTACAGTAGTAAAAATTTTATAAATGCTAAAATTATTGTGTATATGATGAGGATATTTGCCCTTGATGATTAAATAAAAATAGAAAACTCACAACTTTTCACTGAACAAGCCTGACAGGCACCACTTTAACCCAAGGTGATCAAAGTTATCACCGTTAACGAGACCTTTTGAGGAGTGCCTCCTGATACAATGCTCTGAGGAGGGCATAACCTCATTCTATGGTATTCTTGCCCAAAAAATGCATAATATGAATCAAATGAGAGAATGCTAGACAAACTCAAATTGAAGGACGTTCCACAAAATAATTGGCTAGTACTCTTCAAATAACATCAGGGTGATTAAAAAAAAAGACTAAGCAAGTGTCACAGATTAGAAGAAACTAAGTAAACACAACAACTGCATGTATTGTTAGGTTCTGGACTAAATCCATGACCAGAAAAAAAGCACATTAGTTGAATAATTGTAAAAGTTTGAATAGTATCTGTAAATTAGTTAATAGAGTACTAGTACCTGTAATGGTTTCCTAGTTATGATCATTGTATTATGGTTACAAAATGTTAACTTTTGGAGAAGCTGGAGGAAACACACCCTGGGATTCTTTCTTTGTACTATTTTTTTCTGTCTACAGTTTATCAAAATGAAAATCTTTAAGTGTAACAACGTGTGGACATAAAATAATAATAATAATAATAATAATAACAATAATAATAATAATAATAATAAACTATGGTACACGATGCACCTGCCTGGCAAACACAAGGTCCTGAGTTGATCCCCAGTACCGGAAAAATAAAACTGATACAACTATTAAGGGGAAATGGAAACATTCTGCAAACATTTTATCTTAATTTTTAGCTTAGGAATGATGTCAGATTCAAACGCTCATGTGCCTGAAATTAGCTTCAAAATATTCCTGCTCTGAGAGTGATTTTGCAAGGGGATGGCTGTGTGATAGTAACAGGCTCTAGGAAAGCTCTCTCACAGGCCCAAAGGATTTAAGAGTAAGAGGTTGACAGATGACTGGAGTAGACTTGGAGCAGTGAGAATGGGACAGAAAATGTGGAAACACTTTTGCCTTTCAAATCTGTCATTGCTGTGGCTGGGCGCCATGGCCTACTCTGATCCCTGCACTCGGGAGGCTGAGGCTGAGGCTGAGTAAGACCGTTTTCAGTTCGAGGCCAGCTGGGCTACATAGTCCAAGGCCAGCCTGAACTACATAGAGACCTTATCTGAAAAACAAGAACAAAATCAGATTTGTCATTACTCAAGAGTCTGGTCGGGTCCCCAACCATAGGAAGCAAGAGGGAATCTAAGCTTCCGGAAAGCGGATTTTTTTTCCAATTATGTACACAATTACACTTTCGTTCCAAACAATGTTAAATATTTCAGATACACGTAAGGTGGGAAGAAAACTACCGCGACCCTGTCTCCCAACCCCTTCCTCGGCCCGCGCCCGCCAGACCCCCGGCTCTCGGTGCGCCCGCGTGCGCTCGATCTTCAGGACTCTTCCGCACACCGCGGGCCCTCCTCCCGCTTATTGTTTCGCAACTTGCTTTTTTACTTCACAAAAAAATAAATTGTTTTTCCAGAAACACAAACCCGAGGCTCTCCCGTCGCCGACTTCAACTCCAA